TCCAATCTAACGCATCCATATCACATTTTTACCACCCGATTCCAAGTCATCGGCAGCTTCAGAAACGCTGGAGCCAATGGTTTGTCAAAACGGCTCCTAACAGTTATTAAAACTCCTTTACATTTGTCGTAATACCTATACCAACTCTGGTACTAGAGGAGCACGTGCTTCCAAAAATTATTATATAATACATATAAATATATTATATCACCCGTGTCGTAGTCTGTAATGAAGATAATATAAGAATCTTGTTATTGTTGGGGTAATTTTACACTTGGGCATTCGTAATATTATTCGCTAACGTTCCTAGTACACGAATCTTGTATAATACGACAGTATGAAATATGTATGCTGAGCACGTTTTAAAATAAGAATCAAAAGTGGTTAAGATATTAATATCATGTACGTCTGTTATCCGGCATTGGCATTACAATATATATATATATATAATGTTGAATGGTCAAAAAAGTTGGATTTTATATTACATTTTCGATTTATTTTCAATCGGTTATCGCTGACGATGTATACTTATCGTATTATATCTAAACGAGATAGTAACCCATATAGTATGTAAAATAGATACTATGTTTTATAAAATTCTGTAGATAAGAACAACATGGTTTAATGTCAATATTCTACGGATTGTTCCAATCAGAATTTCTTCTCTCATGCTTTATTTTAATGTAATTATTTTGAAGATTGTTTTCACTTACTTTCGTAGATTTATTATAGTATATTATGCGTATTGGCTTATGTTAGGTTAGGTTATGTTGTTTGTTGTGTTAAAATGCGTCGTTGTACATCATTAAAAATGTTATTAAAAAAAAATATGTATCAGCTGTGGTGATATTAGATTTATAGTAAACAATACTTTTGTTTATTTACAGCATTTACTGTATTCAAGTATTTTATATGTGATATTATATGTGATATTTTATACCTAATAATATTATGATATATTTTTTTTTGGTTATTACGATACTTCATTAAATATCAATGCGATTTTTAAAAAAAAATTCATTTTTTTTTATAACTAAATATCTGCTAACTGTTTCATTTCTAAAATAATAAAAATCCCATAATATGAACATTTTTATATTATCATCATATTTGGTTTATATTGTATATACTTTATACTTCTAGAATAATATAAAAGTACTGACTTACATTTTAATAAGCAAAAAACAATATGTCACCACTTTCAAACAACTTTAAAATATTCATTTTTATTTGTTTTCTAAACTCTAAGTTTTTCAATACCTACTTTATTCTTATTTTATAGATCCTCCACGGAACAAAGGGACTATTGATTTTAACAACAATGTGTCTTAAATTCTGGGCTGAGAAATGATAATCGAGAAATTTATCTAATAGTTTAATTTTCATTTTCATTTTCATTTCACACTTTTTTTTTCATTTACACAAAAAACATTAAAAAATATAAAAATTATCATTATGCATACAATTTGTAAACTTGTAGTGCTTCGAAGACATAGCTTTTCAATTTATTCAATTTCTCCTCTGTGAACGTAAGAAAAACAACAGCTATGCAAAATATAATAATAAAAAAATAAATTAAACAAATGAGGTTTTAACTGAATATTGCTAGAGAATTGATTTTTAAATGTGATGGATTATTACACAATAAACACTATGTTACTCCAGATGATCGAAATGAGACGAGTGATCAAATATACAGCCACTGTGTCCCGTCCAGCTTTTCATTAAACATTTAAATGATTTCACAAATCAATTATTGAAAGTATAATTGAAGTTTTTAATCAAATAATAGTATTGTTTTCTGCATGTGCAATAAATAATTCACTACTCGTGGAATTCCATTAACTTGAAAACTAAAAACAAAGATGTCTAGTATATACGTGTTAAATAATTCAAAAAGCTTAAAATACCTACGTAATTTATAAGGTAAAATAATACGATGGTATTTCAGAATATAAGTAGCTAGTTGTACGTGTCATTAATTCTCCACCGTGCTATCTTTATAGATATGAGGTACAGAATAAATCACAGTTAAAATATACAAAACATAATGAAACGATCACGTTACGTTAAACTTTCTTTGTATTCCTACGTAACATTGTTTAATAAATGTATATTAGTGAATAGGGGCAAATGTATACTTACTCTAAGTAATGGCTACTATTTGATATTATATGTCATTAATCAATAGTTTAATTACAGTTCACGTGTTTCGGAAACACATAAACCAAATGAAACGGTTCACTTAGTAGGCAACCTACCTATAATACGGCGACAACTGATGGCCAAAAGATTTCGTCGCTTATAAACAAATGTATTACATATCGTATGATGTCGTCATGAGTTACTTCGTTAAACTCGGCTCGCTTCTAATTAAAAATAATCCATAGAGTGCAGTGAGAGCATAATATTTTCAGCTAAATTCTCATGTACGACTTTAAAGTACCGCTGTGTATAATTGGTATCGTCCTAAGTTTTTAGCTATTATGTGTGTGTGTGTTTTTTGTGTATGTTAATATGCTTCTGCTAAACATGGCTTAAAAAAGACGTATAAGTTTAGTAAAAAACAAAAACAAAAATAATCTAAAACAACAATTTCAATTACTTTGGTCAATATTCACCGTGATTAGCCGGTCGATCGCACGCACATTATCAACGCTCAGCTTAATAGGGATCGTGGGTCTGTTTTTCATGCTAAGTAACCGGTGTTTCGCTTCGTAGGTATTCAAAGCGCGTCCACCACCACCGAAAACGAATTCAAGGATATAAATAAATTTCTCAGTTGAATTTTGGCCGCCAGTTTGAGTTTGCAATACTCATAATCGTACGGTGTATAACGGAATCGTTTATGTAAATTTAAGAAATAAACTTTTTAGTATCATACCTTACCTAGCCCCCTTAGGTAGTGGGATGAGCCTTTATTGCTATTTCTTATAATATAATACAAACTTGACATCAGACATTAAACTTAAGATAAATAAATATGTACCCATCTCCATAATGTTATAAAGATATTAAATATTTCGTAACCAATATGTATATTATATTAAATACTTCAGTATACTTAATTTTATTTTTTTGTATTCTGAACGGTTGGATGGAAAAAATTATGATTTCAAGAAAATAATGATTAGAAATAAATACTTAATTCGATGGATAATATTTATATTTCAGAACTGTTCATACAAATAAACGGAATATATAATATTTAAATTATTTTTTCTAAAGTCTGAGGACAGAATAATAAATTGGAAAGTACATAATTGAAATGGGTACTTTGTTATTATACCTATTGTTTTTCTGAAGAGCAGAAACCAAACCGTATGGAATTTTATATTTTTAAAATAACAAAATAAGCAATAACCACCATATGAATTGAAATATTATTTTGAATATTAACTAATGAAATCATTAGAATATGTAAAACTTTTGATAGTTATAAATTATAATTTATAATAATAATAATCATCTTTCACATTCAAATACTGCTTAAATATGCAAATTTATGGATTTTATGAACACTGAAAAACAACAGTATGTAATGAGATTACCAAGATAATACACATTATTATGGGTCAATAATTCATATAATTTAGTAGTTAATTCGCACATAATAATATGAAAAATGGTCATACCATAAATGGGACATTTTTTTGTTGATAACTGTAAATTATTGACAATTTATAAAATACACATTGAACTTAAATTTTGAATCATAAAATTTTTTACCTCTATATACCTATAATAATATTATGGTATTCAATAAATCCTATGAAATGCATTAAGTGGTTTTTATTTTAATTGTAAGTATTTATATGTCTTGGAATTATTATAGTGCTGTTATATGCTGTTTATTTTTAATAAAGTAAAAATAAAAAGATGGGAAAATGCAACCCTATAGGTTTTAGTGTCTAACTTACCTTGGATAATCTGGGATAAAAGTAAACTATATAGCATTTGACATTTTTCTCTAAACCTTTGTGGTTTTGAGAGACGCGTTAGTGTCTTAAAACCGTTTCACGGATGTGCTGGTTTCAGTTTATGGGCAATGATTTTATCTTTTATATTCTTCTTTTCTTTTCTTTTATTATTATTTAAGCTAATAAAACCCTAAGATCCGTTTAAGAAATTACCCACAGACATATGTTTACTAATTACAATTAATAATGTAATAAATTGTTTTATAGCATATAATTATATGTGAATATTACCTATTTATTTTGAATAAGTGGTATGAAAATTAATTTGCTAATATGTTACTTGAAAACGAAGTACTTGTATTCTGCGAAGGTATACGTATTATGTATGATATATGCAACATCATTAATTACATTTTTTTTTAAAGAAAATTATCTTTATTTTTGAAAAGTTCAAATGTATTCAAGTGATGTACTATAAGTTAATTATTTACGGTTAACTATAAGACGTAACAAAAACAAAAGAAAAACACGTGAATGGAAGTCACTCAATTGAGACACCTAATGGTTTTAAATTATTTAAATGTTCAGGTCATGGCATCTCTGCAGTTATCTCTCCATTTGAGACATAGTTATGTTGGTTCTTAAGAAGTGTCTTGGAAGGTTTATGACTGTTAAGCTGGTTGAAATTGGATTGAAATTTCGTATAGAAACAATGTCTGTAAACTTGTGTTGCTTTTTAATTGATTGAACATATTCAACATATTTGGGGGTGGGTTATAGGGTTTCTTTTGAGATGAACCAAGAAGTTCCTACTGGATTAAGCACAGGTGGATATTTTGGAAAACTTGTATGGTTCTCTTATTGGTGTTCTTAGCAGCCTCCTAGATGGCCATATACCATAGTGGTTGTAGGACATCATTGTTTAATAAATAAAATATATAACTACAGCGCAATTATAGCGCTGCATTATAAATTAGGTGTACTTAGCTTTTTTAATATTAGTTACAAGAAACCTCTCTAGATTTGATGTAGTTGAATATTATCCTATTCACGTACAATAATATTTTATTTTACTTTCAGTATGGCAGAGCTCCTATTCACTGGGCATCTTCAAGAGGAAATACTGAAATTATGGAGATGCTAATAAATGCGAAGTGTGATATTGAAGCCAAAGATAAAGTAATTATACATATATACACAATCATCTGTAGATAATATTTAAACTCTTAAACGATATAATTTATAATAAATAATAATGTAGAATATACAATGGGTACACACATTACAATTAGTTTATGTTTGTTTACTTTAGTTATGTTTTGAATATTTTAAATTTAATCTCGCATTATATAAATTCCATTATCAGACAGCTATGTATTATTATTTTAAAATAATATTAATACTTTTATTTTATGACAATGTATTTTGCCCCTAAATGATCCTGATGGCACATTTGAATACATTTCAAATTAAAATATTTTTGTTACATAACGGTATTGCAACCGAATTAAAATAGAGTAAACCAGATTAGATTTCGTAATTGAAATCATAAAATAAACTGGAAAGATTGACGTTAATGCCACTGATTCCACTCCGTTTATTTTCGGTTATTGCAAAATTCGATAGCTGATAACAAATTTTTGTATTTAAATTTGAATTAAGCATCGAGTGTTTTTTTACTGATAGAAATGTAATTGGAAACACGCGATACTAGGTATAGCTAAATACGTTATAATTATATCATTTAACTCGGTTAACGGTATACTAAATATCTCACTGAAATGTACACTAACTCCGGGTTGTGAAAAAATTACAGTTTTTTATTTATAATAATTAATAAGTAGGAGGTTTCTAGTGTTTCTATACTAATGAAGTGTACTGTAACCGTTTGTAATTTAATTTAACGATTCCGATGACGTTATCCCTATTGTTGTATGCTAAAATATATATTATTCTGTGGGTACAGGTTGAAGAATTTTCAAAACAATAATTTAATATGATATACCTGAGATACACCTACCCTTAATATTAATAATATCATCGTACACAACGTTTAAGCTCTCTTTCGACATTAATAATATCATATTATTATATCCGGCCGTGTTTTCGGTGAACATTTTGCACGCAAACTTTGTTACTGTAACAAAAGTATATAATAATATATTATCTGCCCGTTAATGGTAAATCTTAAATCGTCGGCCGTGTACGCATTGTTGTCCTATACATTTTAACAAAAACCTTTTTGACTATTACTACGTTCACATTGCGAAGACTCTGCGCGGCGCGTGTTAGCCTCTAATAATATATTATTATTATTATTATTATGAGAGCGCTGAACGTTTCCATCAAAACCTTATTTTTAATAAATCGATCGTTTAAATAATGTTTCAGTACGGGATGCGTCCGATATTAATGGCTGCATGGCATGGCCACACGGATGCTGTCCAGATGCTTATCAACTACGGAGCGAGTGTGAATACAATAAATAAGGTGATATTCAATAATAGCGATGATGACGATAGTAATAATGATAATAGTAATAACGACAATGTTCAAAATAATAATAGTGTGAAATGTCTATAGGACGAAACTATATTTACGAAAGTATTGTACAGATGCACTCGCGATTGTCGCGGTCGTATTGGGGACCGTTCTAAAAATATCGACTTTTTCTGTCTGAATAATAATAAACCAAATTCATGTAAATTTTTTTTCTATTCGAGAGTTATAAATTATTACTTTTGAATTTAATAATGCCAACCAGTGTCTACCTTTTTTACCTTCCGTTATTTATTTATTTATTATTAAGGTGGCTTACGTTTCAAACAATTTTCCGAATCGACCTTATAGTGAGCGGCCTAGAGTAGTTAGCATGTTTTTTTTATTTACTTTTCAGTCAGGACCCATATTCATGACGTAATCAAACTGGTAATATTCCCTTTATCCCACATGTTAACATTTCTGTAAGAGAAATAACATTTTATGCCGAAACTCGACATTATCGTCATAACATTTCATTTCCGAATAGTTCAATATTTAAATTCTGTGAACGTACTAAAATTATTATTGTTATCTGCATTTATACATATTTTTTTTTTACTCATGCACGTAGTAAAATTTTGAACGATTAAACAAATCTCATTAAAACGCGTTTTAATCTGCAAAAACATAAATCTGAAAAATGACATCAAGTTGTGAAAACCGTTTTCATACATGATTGAAATACGTGATGTTGGGAATATTTTTTCAACAAATTATTATAAAACAAAAATGTCGAGGCTAACATTTTTTATATTTATTTCATTAGTTTCTCATCATTGTAATAATAGTTGGAACAAATTTTTAGATATCATACAAGACGTAAATATATTTTTCTATTAAATTATTTCCAATAGTTTTTGTTTTTGAAGAAACGATTTATTATAGTTTTATCTTTAAAAATGACCTCACACCTTTTAAACATTCCTAAAAACTACAAAGACTTCTATGTTATGCAAAATTCATAATATTTTTTTTGTCGTCAAACTTAGAAACTAGTGTTTGAAATGTAAGCATTTAATGTCGATGACTCTATAAACCAGTTATGGCCAACCCGCGGCCCGCCTTGCAAAGTTTTGCGGCCCGCGACATTTATCAAATATTTACAAAAAAAAAAAATTATTTTTGCACAGATGGAATATTCTGGAATGCCCGCACAACTCGGTATCTGTATTATTAACAACGTAATCCCAACAAAAGTAATAATTCTAATCTAATCTGATAACAATATATACGAGTAGACACCAGCTTATAGCAAATTGTATTGTTAAAATAAAACGTGGTCAATAACAGTCATAATCTGTCCGTTCGTGATAATTTGTAATAATTAATACACCAAAACTTAATTCATAATAATAATAAAATTTGTTTATAATGTTTACTACATTTTTTTGTATTGGGTTAAAATACGTTTATAATTTTGAATAATAAAATATGTGATTATATTAATATTATTTACTGGCTGATTACCCTCTTTTTTTTTTTGGCAACCTTATATGTGGCCCGCAGGACTGTAATGTATTTAAAAAAAGGCTCGCAAGATCATTTTGGTTGGCCCTCCTGCTCTAAATCAAAAAATTTAATAATATTGACTGATTATAAGAAGAGTTTTACGTTGGTAAATTATAATGTAGTATAAGGTGAAACACGGTCAGTTGGTCAGGTATTATTTAAATGTAATTATACGTTATAACGTTGTATTAAAAAAAAAAAAAAATCAATATGATTTATAAAATATTCAAATCCTACTAAGTTTTAAAAAAAATCTAAAGTTTGTCATTAAAATATTCAACAAACAAAAAATTAAAATGTAAAAATATTTTTCTTCTATTATAATACATGTTATTATAATATCATTAATTTCAAAATTATTTTTTAAATATTTGTCTAGAAAAGGTATTATAAAATTATAGGGACATTCCAATTAAAATATTATTATTTTTATTAATGATTCAAATAGAGTTTTATAAAATTGAATGTTAAACTAACATTATTATCTTGTGGTAGTAAGACTCTGTAAATATATTTTTCTATTTTTTCGTTGTGATTGATTTTTACAAAAAATTGTGGGTTCTGGTCAAACAGCTTGACAATTTAATACAAGGCTCCTAATATACGATTTAATGTCGGGATGAGGAATGCAGAGGTTATATGATACATGAGTTGGAGATTTGTTTGGTTTCAAAATATTTGAATCATGATAGATTTCTTACAGAACTAATAGAAATATGTGAGTCGTAGAGTAGTGTTGTAAATGTGTGTTAAAATCATTACAATTTAAAACCATTTATTACTTGTAAAAATGATAAAATATACAGAGAGTTTGAAAAAAGTGTTAAAGTTTATAATGTATTATTTTATGTTTTAATAGAACGTATGGAATAATCTTGAGTTAAAACATCAAATGCAATTTAATAAAATGAAAAATAATTCACATATTTGAAACTTGTAATTAATGAAATATCATTTGGTTCTTTTGGTTATGCAAGCGAACCTCAATAAAATAATATAACAGTACTTCGATATATTTGTCTTAGAGTGTCTACATTATATTCTTAGTTGACGTGAATGTAAAAGTGGTTCAAGTGTCATTATCTTTTCAAGCTTTTGAGTGTTGGTTGACTTTATTCATTTCAGTAAGGCCAAGACCCACTTCGTTTTAATGGTGATGACAGATGAATTTTCTTTTCGTTATCAACACTATTTCTGTAAGAATAAAATATGTCATCCAATCCTTTTGGAATATCTCATACTTTTAACTAAAGTTTCAATAATGCTATACTCCCAAACGTTAGTTTTAAATTAATATTTTAAAAAGGAAAAGTTAAATTATGGAAAAATAAAATATTGTAACATTTAAGTTTTTGTATTAAATAATATTTGTTTAATATTGGATGATTGTATAAATAATAAATGTATAAGCTCTGCGATAAAAACAGTTTTTATTCAATAATCCAACTAAATATATTAATTTTATTAGTTTTAGTTATTTTTTAGATGCCGAGCTAAGCAATATTAATGTATTGGTTTTACGATGATGACGTGTGTATTTATGTAATTTTATTTTGAGCACTAAAAATGCTTAAATCATAATCTATTTTAGTACTCTCTGGTAGAAAATTGGATCTGGTACTCTGGGGAGTTAAAAGTACACATTCCAAGCACAATTAAAAAAAAAAAAATAAAAAGATATTGAAAAACAGTTAAATTTACTTCAAGCATTTTTGACAAAATCGATTTGTTTATTTTGTTGGAATTGAAAAATTAATAACTGCAGGGACTTTAATTAATGTTCATCAAATATTCATGATACAATTTACTTAACTTATAATTTTAAAATATATTGGCTCTATTTGCTATTTATAGGCATTTAATAATCAACTTAAAAAAAAAATTGAATTTATATATTATAACATTTTTGTTTGTAAATAAAATCGCTCAAAAGTATAACTCCAGGTTACTCATACATTTTTCTTACAATAGCCACCATTTTTTTTTTTTTTTTGTAAGCGTTTGAATTTCAAATGTTAATTAAATTTGTCAAATCGAGAAGTTGTTCATATTATACATACGAGTTTATCTAAGATTTGAAAATTTAGTATAAGGTTTCTGATACACTTTTCTCGTATGAGTTAAGAAAAACGTATAGCACAAGCACATTTTCAATAATTAAGACTGTTTGTAAACCTAATTGTCTGTGTAATTGTGTATTTATAAGAAAAACAACAAATTTGCTTTATAGTTTATACGATTTTGGGGAATTTGTTAAAGTTCAAAAAATATTATTCTTGGAGTCTTGGAAATATTCCACTGTAACTAAATAATAATTTTTATACTCAAAGAATTATTTAAAATATTTTGACTACAAAAAAAGCGTTTTATAAAAATTTGAATTCATCGATTTTTTTTGAAGTTTTTTTAAAAATATTTTATGAAGTTAATATAAGGTTTGAAAATGTAGTACAAGGTTCATAAATTGTTTCTACTGCACGCTAAAAATATCTGAAATACATGTACTTACACAATTATTTTTATAGACATTCGAAGTTAAATTCATGATAAAATTTAATATTTAAACGTAAATTATCATTCTTCCCTTCAACGGTTTTAGTTATTGCGAGTTGTTATTAATAAAAAATGTGTTTGTATACACTATAGACTTTGGAATTTTTAAACAATTTTGATTAATTTTAACTTTTAAGCTATTTATACCTCATACCTATTCACACCTTTGTATGGTACGTCGTTTTGAATAAATTATAAGATGGGTTAATAACAGCTAGTAATACTATCGGACACAATGTATTGTACAATTTGTTTTTACCAACAATTAGGTCAACATCACTTAGTATAATTATTAAAATATAGGCTGACAGACCGTCTCTGCTCAGAATCTTTTTTCGTTATACAATGATTTATCATTAAATTTAAATTTAATACTTATCCAATACTGTTACCTACTCAATGACGAGTTACACTCGACACCGCTTATGTATAGGCATACAGCAGAGCGACTTGCATTTTTCAGTTGGTTTAAATAATTTTTAATGAAATTCAATAACTGAGTATTATTTATTTTAACACTATCAATACCTAACCCGTATCGACCATCGTACATCGTACTATCTGAACAAATATAATTTGATTTGTTATAATAAATAACCAATAATAATAGTAAACTAAAAATTAATATTACCTATATATTATAATGTGGGTATGTAGGTGCAAACCAGATACATCCCACACGTATAATATGAATAATATGCATAATAATCTTCAAAAAAATTTGGTACTTTTAAATATTAAGGGCGTTGCATGCGGCGATTTGCGGTTTTTGTCTAACACACGTGTAACATAGGAATAACGACCCAAGCTCCTGACAAAATTTAAGGTACTTCTAGTTGTTCGATTTAAAAACTGTAAAGATGTTTGAATTGGTAGGTATACTAGTT